TGGAAAGACTCCCACCAGAGCTCAATCCTTTTGATACCGTAGGTATCTGGGATGAGTGAATTTTCCCATTGGAGCGAGTGTGAGCCGTATGGCTAAATCTTGATAATAATAATAATAATATGTTCGACCATTCCTTCTCTAAAAAAAAAGAGTAATTTTATTCCCAATTTTTTGTTGTATGTGAATTTTGATACACTTGATTTCATAAACTTTACATGGTTTATATGAAGTCGATACTTTTACAGACATGTCATTTTTATTACTATTGCAGTAAATATATTTTTGTCCAAATAAACATAAAATATTTGCGTACCTGTAATTTTGAAGTAAATTTGTTCAGTTAGCTCTTGTAAATGCTTCTATATATACATTTCAGTTTCTTGTTTCTGCTATAAATTACTGCTGCTTAAACTCTGCTAAAATACTGCTTTGATCCTAATATTTTCTGTATTTTAGTGTTCCAGTATTGATTCAGTATTTTTAAGTATTTCAGTTGCAGTATTTCTAGTATTAAAACAAGTAGAGAAGGTGTTCTTTTGTTAATATATTCACACGATTCTCTTACTTTAGCACTATCAATAAATTGTCACGTGCGCGGTAGAAATCAGAATTACTGAAATATATATAATTAAATACTTTTATCTAACCTATTTACCCAAATTAAGAAAACGTTAGAACATAACAGCAATTTTTTTATTTATAAAATTACAGGCTCTGTGCAGACATTTCGTACGTAGGAAGACTATCGAAACGATTACTTAAAAAAAATTGCTGTTATATAAACACGAAGATGTTATCCCATCTCAGAATTTCGTTACAATCCTTATGAGTACTTTTACCGTTCGGCCCAATTCTTCCGGCATATTAAAAAAAAATGCCATGGTTCGACTAAACTGTAATTTTTTTGCGTGTAGAATATCGTGTGGGTAGTTACTCTAATTCATTTATCGATCGTATAAGGCACGAACAAGTGATTGTGTAGGTCGAACAATGTCTTTGCTATTAGACAACGGGCAAAAAATCACTCGGAAAAGTTTCTTGTCAATCAGTTTTAGAAGAAAGTTTAAGAACAATGCTTTCTTTGTTTGGAATCACCGTTCAATAACTCTGTCGAAAAAGAGGGCCGCTAAGGAAACTATTTCTTTTTTATAAATGTTTGTCACGGAGGCTTTTTAAGATGTATAAAGTGAAAATATAGTTTAGAATTAAAAAGCACTATCATTTTTAAAATTTACTATTTTTTTTAAGAAAGTGGAGGGAAGTCGGTTTTGAATGTGTTCCATTTGATATACATTTAGGGCATTAAAAAAGTATATATTTTATTATTCCTAGTACCGTGATTTATTCACCATCTTCTGGTTTTTACTTTTTTACCAAACTATGGTTTCATATATTATGTCCATCTATTTAACTTTTGTTTTGTTTTAGTTATAATGGTGCCCTACATTTTTCACTATTGCTGTCGTTTCTTGCGGTTTCCCGTGACTTTCTGTAACCTCATATGTATTGAAAATGTGATAGTTTTTAATATGATACGTTCCCTAATTTGACATAACATGTTCAACATAACAACTCAAAAATAATATAATTAAGGCAGCAACAGAATCACTTGGAGAGAGAAAAGTAACGAACACTAATATATCAAAAAAGAAAACACCATGGTTTGGAGAGGAAGTGAAGACAGAATGTGAAGAAAAGAAGCAAGCCTTTTTACAGTACAGAACACAACAAAGACAACAGGTATACAACCTCTAAAAACGAATAAGAAATGAAACGAATACTTTATTTTGACAAATAAAAAAGAAATACTGGCAGAGCTTATCTAAACAGATGGAACACGATTTCTACGGAACAAAAAAATAAATATGGAGAATGATCAGATGACAAAGAAAAGAGATACTAATAAAACGAACTAGAACGAACTAATAAAAACGAAACACATTCAGTAGGAAACATGGGTAGACTACTTTCGATCCCTGTTTGCTAAAGGTGACGATGATGAACCACCAACACCAGAGGTAACGACAAACGAAGAAAAAAATATTGAGAAGGAAGAGGTAAATGAAGCATTAAGGATATTAAAAAATAGAAAATCGCCAGAAGAGGACAGAATACCGAACGAACTCCTAAAGTACGGAGGACCAGATCAATTTAATATAAACGCCAAAAAATTTAACATGTTAATTTCCCCAACAAAGACAAAATGCATGGTTACAACAGCAAATTTACTAAGATGTAAATTGGAGCTGGAAGGTCAGATAGTAGAACAAGTGATGGAGTTTAAATATCTAGGCATCAGATTATCTAGCTACGGAAATCTCGAAACCGAAGTGAAAGATCAACTGAATAGAGCAAACAGAGCCACAGGCGGCCTAAATGAAACAATATGGAAAAATAAAAATATCGGGAAAGAAACGAAAGGTAGAATTTACAAAACAGTCATCAGACCAACAATGACATACGTGACAGAAACAAGACCTGACACAGAGAGGACAAAAAGGATGTTAGAAACAGCTGAGATGAAAAAAAAATGATGGTAAGACACTATAGGACAGAGCTAGATGTACAGATATACGACATAGATGCAAGGTGGAGAACATCAAAAATTTGGTAAGAAATAGAAGAGTAGAATGAAACGACCATACAAGCAGAATGAAAACAAATGGAGTAGTAAAGACGGCAAGAGATGGTTCCCCAATAGGAAGACGATAAGTAGGAAGACCACAAAAATAACTTACTGGAGGCACATTGAAAAACTGACACAATCATGTCTATATAAGAAGAAGAAGAAGAAGAAGAAGAAGAAGAAGAAGAACATGATCTTTTGGCTTCTCTTATATTCTGTTTTTTCTTATTCATTACTTATTTGATATTAACGTTAATTTCTGTTTTTATATTGTTTATTCGCTTTGAGTTACAACCAGTAGAAGAGGAAAAGATTCATAGATATGTAAGTATGCTGTACAGTACATACCAGATGTCTCTACCTGATTAAACCTTTTAGAAAAACCGAAATTATTGACGCAATACTTAATACTAATACAAAAAACTCCTGGTTATGAGCTAATTACTGTATTTGTTGTGTTTTAATTACCACAAAATGCGTTTCTCTTGTTCGCACAAATTTATAACGCGATATTAAGATAGGATAATTTTTTTTACAATGGAAAGTTATTTCATCCATGAAATAGGCAAATCTTTATAATTCGTAACTTCATATACACCCATTAGTTTATTACCAATTTTGGCTAAAATTCTTGAGAAATTAATAATAGAAATAGAAAAAAATAGAAATAGAAAGAAATTAATTTTTTTTCTAGAAGAAAACTGCTTAGTTCTTGACTACCAATTTGATTTCCAACAAAAACACGCTGCAGTTCATTAAGTGCACAGAGTTATTAATGTCATAAATCAGGGTCTGGAGGAAAAGCGCTACTATTCTGCAGTCTTCTTGGACATCACATAAACTTTTGATAAAGTCTGGCATACAGGTTTGATGTATAATATTTAACAACAAATACATCTGAATACTATAGAATATTTAAAACCTACATTACAGACAGACATTTTCAGATATAATTTGGTACGGCAATAACAGCATTAAGACGACCCATAAATACCGTCGTATCCCAAGGGGTTGTGCTTGGTGCAGTCTTATACCTATTATACACGGCTGACCTAGCTTATTCTGATCAATGCTTCATAACAACATTTGCTGATGACACCGTCTTTCTTTCGTCGCACACATATCCCTTCGAAGCGTCTAGAAGGTTACAAGACCTCTTGAACACCATTCAGATGTGGTTAAGAAAAGACAAAGCAGTGTTAATAAAAATAAATCTAACCATGTAACTTTTACAACTCGACATCAGATATCAGCATTTGTACACCTAAGTAATTAAGACATACATAGTTCAACAGTTTTATGGCTCAACGGCTCCATGAATAACTCAGCATTCATTTTGATAGACGACTTGGAGAATTGGAGAAACTACATCTTCAATAAATAAAAACAACTTGGATTAAAATTAACACAACTTTACTGGCTACTTGGAAGAAGATATGAACTAGCAAGAGCAAATACATTATTAGTGTCTAAGGTAACTTTAAAACCCATCTGGATCTATGGCATTCAACTGTGGGGATGTGCAAGCGAATACAATATTGAAATCATGCAGAGGTTCCAATCGAAGGTGCTTACGCGTATTGTTAATGCATCACCATACATCCCTAACGAAGTCATACATCGTGACCTTTCAGTGAGTGTTGTATACGTAGAAATAAAAAGTGTAGAGATGAGGATTTAAATGGGTTAGAAGTTCACCGAAATTCTAACCCGTAATGGTAAACAAAACATAAATAATAATAATACACGATTTTGTAATAACAAACACTTTTTATATACTGCAGACTACTCGTATTCAGCAAAATTTTACTCGAAACAATGAACGGATCCCGACTCTCTTATTGACAAGTATTATTCACACCATTTTACAATCAATAATGGATTTTTAAAACATCCCTTTATCCTTAAGTTGTAGCCCATAAAGATAAGCTTTTCACTTTAATCAACTGTCTAGACAGTTCGAACACATCTCCTCAATGAATACGGTAATAATTAAGTAAACAAAACCAATACTCTGAATGTCGTTCAACAGATAGACATGGCATTGATTGGTGATTTGTGAATGTGCTTTAGGCCCGATATAAATTATTCTGTACGTCATAATCAATTTTTTACAAAAATACTTGATATTTTCATAAAAAAATTAAATTACTGAAATTAAAATTGCCTTGATAGGAAGTGTACTAAAAAATAAATACAAGTACTTTATTTATTGGGATATCTCGTTAGTCTTTTCCCGCTGGAGGGAATGTTGTGTTTGTATGCATGGGGAGGTTTGGCTTTAAACTATTGTCAACTGAATATAGCAGTAGTCGTGATATCGTGTATGGATTTATGTCTCTGATCATTTCTATTACACCATATACAGGTCTCTTCAACTTCCTATGATCAGGTCAATCCATCTCGTTGGAGATATTCCTCGTGGTCTTTGGCCTTTTACCTTCCCGTAAATGACAAGTTGTTCCATATTGTCTTTGTATGACCTCAGGAAATGTCCAAAATATTTTAATTGTAGTTGTAGTTGAATTTTGCCGCAGAGTCTCTTATAGACTTTTAGTTCTTTTAGAATAAAATGACATAAAGCTATGCCATTTGTCATAGCGATCTTGGGTAGCTCACATCTACGTTTTATTTCCCTCTAAAGCCTGTTTGCGATCAATGATCCCACATACAAGAATGAGTTTACAACATCAAACCGGTAAATTTTATTTATAAGTAGATTTTTGTTGTGTTGCTAATCCACTATAATGAACTTTTCTATATTTAATGTGTTTACTAAATTTTTAAATGTTTTTTTTTTTGTGGATTTTAATGAGCTGTCTTTTGGATGTTTTTTTGAAAAAATTTCAAAGTTTTTTTAACTTTTAAACAATATTTTGTATTTTCCATCAAGGTGGTTCCTCTTTAGTAGTGATACTTGATAAATTTGACCATAGTGTTGAGTATGGTTATGTAAGTCGAAAGCGCTAAGCTAGGAATTAAATGTTCTACATACTAAAAAATACTTTTTTTCATTCATTGAAAAGAATATAAGGTTAAAAACTATACTAATGTACTTACCTTTAAGTACGTGAGCGAAGCTTTTGAAGTAAGTGGTCCATTTCGGGAAGATACTTTTACTAAATGTTGACTGGGTTTAGAAGATAAAACTTCCTTTTGGTGATGATTAGCAGGACTCTGAAAAAGAAATTAAGTTGAAAAAGTTATGCCAAATAATTTTTTTAATGTTTATGTATATAATGAATCTAATACAGTTATGAAGATTTATTGATTCTAAACTCATAAGTTTAAAAATCGTGACACGACATGAATCGCTCAGATATCTGAGAACACACTAAGTGATACAAGAAGTTTCAAATAATTTATCACATAGGCCATACTTTGTCTAGTTAGATTGATCTAGTTTAGTCTTTTTAGTCCCTACTACAAAGATACTTTTAATAGCTAACAGACCTGCAATAAACATAAATATCGATTTTATCTTCTTCCGGTAAATAATAAAACAAATAAGTCCCTTTGTGTTTAGTATGCTCTAATCATAAAATTTATATAAAATAAACATCCCTTTAACAGAATTATGATATTAATTCTTCCTCACTGAAGTCTAAATAAGATCCGTCTGATCGAATTTGCGTATTCCCTTGTAGATATCATTTACAAACACCCACGCAGAAACATTTTGCTACCCTCGAGCCCCAGTAAATCCAGACAGAAAATGTCTGTGCTTATAATAAAAACGGTATCAATTTATGTAAAGAATCAGGTTACTCATTCAAGGAAATTTGATTTAACTTGTCTTTAATGTAACTCAAAATTTAAACGAAAAAAGCAATTTTGCTCTATTGAAGGATTTCTACAGGCTTGAGCTACACCCACGCAAAATCGTTTTTCTATTTAGACAGTGTCGTTACTATAAATAGATTGTAATATTATACATAATAATTTAACTATAATAAATATTAGAGATTGTAATACAATTTGGTTAAATTGCGAAATATATTATTTATTTAAATCTAGTTACAGTAAATATCATTAATAACTACAAATGAAGGAATGAAACAGAACCGTAATTCATCTGTTTCCTGTGTCATCAATAAAAGCCATATTTACCAAAATCAGTTTATTTTTTAGGCGTGTTAGTTTTTTAAATATTTTTGGATAATAGATAATTACCTACAAATTCCAGTCTACATCACGAGCAAAACCTGGAAAAACCTCTTGATGTAGTAAATTTTTGGTCTAATTCATAGTGTTGTTTCAATATGAGCATAAAATTCTATATTTAATTTAAAATTTGTTTTTTCGCATTTAAATGATTCTTTTTTAAATTTTAATAACGCATCAACCACGCATGGTCATTAGCGTATTTAGATTAATGTGACAGTTGATACAATTAGCGTATATACATTAGTTTACAATAATAATATGTATGTGTATTACAATGTATGTTTTAGATCTTTTAAAGAAGTTGACAGTCTTTAAGATAAACAAATATTTTTCTATATTTTCTTCTGGGGCATCTCTTAGGGAGTTGGGTATGCTATATTTCAGTCGTTCACTGTTATATTTGGGACACTGTATTAAAAAATGTTTTACCGTTAGAACATTGTTGCACACTTCATATCCTGGTTTATTTTTGCGCTGTAATAAATAGTCACGAGTAAGTCGTGTATGGCCGATATGGAGACGGGTAAGTATCGCTTGCTCTCTTCTGTCTTTTATTTTTGGTTTCCTAAGATGTGGATGTTTGTTGATTTCGTATAGCCCTGATGGAGTGTTATTCCAAGTTTGTTGCCATTTTTAAATTATTTTTTGTTTTAAGATGGTTTTAAATCGTTTTGAACTAATATGTTACTTTCTTCGGGCATCGGAGTAGTTGGTGCGTTTTTAGCCAGTTTATTCACAACTTCGTTACGTTCAATTCCGACATGAGAAGGTACTCATAAGAAGTGAACTTGAATGTTTTTATTTAAAAAGTTTTTAAGTTCTTTTTTAATAAGAAGTATAAGGGGTTTGTCACAGTACAATTGAGTCAGTGAGGATAATGAACTTGGAGAATCTGTAATTATTATACATATTTCTTTGTTTTTGTTTTGTATTAACGATAGTGCTTTTAGAATTGCGAATAATTTAGCTGAAAAGATGATTGTAAGTGACGACAATTTGAAACTAACTGAGGGGTATTCCGAATAAATTTCTGCTCCAACTCTGTCTTCATTTTTTGATGCATCGATGTATACATTGTCCATGGTGCAGGGTTGTGGATTGAAGAGGTATCATAGGTTTTTGAAAATGGAAAATTTAATTTGGATAAGTATGATTGTATACGAAAGTAAAAAGGATGATTAATTTGCTGTGTTTGTTAAAATTTATTTGTAAATCGACAAGCAAAAAAGTTCTGCAGTACTGGATTATTTCGGTTTGATGACACTGCTGCTACATATGTTAGGCTTAGATATTGTCTTCTGAAAGAAAGAGGCAGTTTTCTACTTTCCCAATAGAGACTTTGAATGCCGCTTGTATAGTGAGCACCTAAAAAGATACGTAGACATTTATTTTAGACAATATCCAGTGACTTTAAATGTGTTTTTTGGATGAGTTGTAGACGATAGCTCCATAGTCAAGTTTGGATCGAATTATAGATTTGTAAATAAGTATTAAACTTGAAAATTATCACTTTAATTTATATGTTTTTGATTAGTAACACCATTATGTGTAAAATCTAGTGATTCTGCTTTAACCCAATAATTCCCAATGCGTAAACGCAAAATTTTTAAATGTATTTTTTTTAATATGTCATGACTTAAATACTTTTTTGTTGCTTAATTTTATTTAAAACAAAAAATAGAGCACAAATCTAATAAATTATTTGGAAATAATTCAACGTGATATATTTTTTAATTTATTGAATATTGAAAAAATCTAAAAAAAAATTTCATATGTTTGTCGATGTAATTTGTGTACAAACGTAAAATTATACTTCCGAAATTTTCAATTTATCAGTAGGAAAGATCGTAACATTTTATTTGAAAAATCTTTTTTGGTTTTTGGATACATGTTACGTTTACGCAACGTTGGGATTTCGTGGAAAAACGTGCTGCTGAGTCGCGTTACTAACTTAGTGGCGACGGATTGAGATAATAATTTAAATTTTGCATTTGGTCAGTTTTAAATAATTATTCGAAATGGGACTCAATAATAACTAGCTATTTATTTGAATTCTAAACGATTAGAGTGAAGTTCAGTGTACCAATACCAAGGAAATCTATTCATATCCCATTACCAAGGAAATCTATTCATATCCCATATTTTTTTATTTTTTCTCATCTTACAAACTATCCGATTTGCTGAAAAACAAATGATTTTACGCTACTGTGAATATCTGCAATTGTGATGTACAATGGAAAATAGACATTGCCGAACATACAGAAAAATCGCGGTGCTTTGGAAGGTTTATTATGATACTAAACAAAGTGTGCCGAAATGACAATTCGGTAGTGACAGTAGCACCAAATAATTGTGCCATTGAACCTTTCGCAAGTACATAAAAATATTACAGGAAAGAAAAGAAAGCCCAACTAATTTCTCAGCCAAAAATGATTGCTGAGTATAATTCTCATTTGAGTGAAGTTGATTTGTATCACTACGGCATATCAAACTACAGAATCAAAATAAAAGGCAAAATATGGTGGAAGTCTCTTTTTATAAATGTGATTGATAGTGTTATTCTCAATGCATAGAAAATATATAACGTGTCAAATAGAACCAAAATGTCAGTTAGATTTTAAGTCTTAAAAATTATTTAAGTAGCCACCCTTATGAAAATAAAAGTACCACTCATCGATCCTCCCAGAATCGATTGTTGACGAGCATCCAGAATTAATTTGTTAGCAGAGATTTGATTTGATCACGTTAGTAATATTATTGCAGAGGAAGATAATAAAGCAAGAATAAAATGCAGGAAATGCAAAAGTATCAGACATTTCATTTCATTTTATTTCAAATCAAGTATAAGACATTTAGCATTGGATTAAAAAGATACGCTGTTGGAAGTTTTTAAGGAGAAATTAGAAAGTAGGGATCAAATAATGATGTGATATAATGTGAAGTTTAAAATGTAAAATTTAAGTACAATTAGAAATAACACAATACGTGCACAAAATAATAAAATAAATTAGGCATGTGGCATAGATTTTAAATTAGGTATTAAACATTATAGGGAATTAATACGAATATGTACCACAATTTTGATTAGCATATTGGTATTGAGACTTACTTAAAATTTGTGGAGCACTTTCTTTTTGCACTTATTAAAAAATAACTTATATGCATTACTGTCATTTATACTGAGGGATAAATCACAAGATTTTTTTAACTTAACTGACGAAGAAAATTTTTATATTTTTCACTCTATCCGATATTTTTACCAAATCGTTAAAAAATGTTTTTGTTTTATAATATTTATAGTTACACTACTAAAAAGAATAAAAAATGAAGCACCCACCACTGCTTTTCTATGGCGAGAATACATAAAAGAGTTTCAGACATGTAGCCTACGCGAAACGCAGTGCTCTAACTCAAGGATTTTCTTTTTAATTATCCGTCAGTTGGCGCCCTAGTATACACCCTCGACATTGAGCTTCAGTAAAGACCACGTGACTTCATGAAACTACGTTAACGAGCAATTCTCTCGGGGGGAGTCGAGAGGCAGATTATATTTGTTTAGCGGTAGGGTTTTTGCTTTTTAATATGGATTACTTGTACTTGGAAGTTTTTATGTACTTGTGGGGAGAAGTTATATTGCAGTCTATGAAATATATAGCGTTCCCCTTGACCTTGAATTTTGCTAGATTTTCAGGAGTAATAACTCTTAGAAAATGTTGTTCAAATTTAAGTTTGGATCTTACCCTTATTAAGTCTTATTTTCAAGCGTCAATTTTCATTCAGGAAAACAAAAATATAAATTTTTTAAATAGTGTGCTAGAATTAGTCATGAATAACTTATTCGTGAGTTTTACTAATGTATAAAAATGATTTTTTTCTCTTGTTACAGTTGGAACTTGACCTGCTTTAAATGAATTCTTTCCTTACTGTTGGAAAAAAATTAAATTCCCATATTTTAACTTTTCGTCTCATCTTTATTACGAATAATAATGCAAATTCAAACAATTCATTGATTAAAATTATAATATGCCAACAACAAAGCGCTGACATTGAAATTACTGACAGCGAGTCCAAAATTCAACAGTACTTGACGAAAATTAAAAGCAAAAATAAAAATCTATTATGCGTCGAAGAATGTTCTTGACAAGTAGTAGCGAAAGTTCAAGCTCAAAGTAACAAAGAAAAATGCAGAAATGAGTTAAAAAGATGAAAAACAAATTAAACGAATTTGACCCTTTTATACATATAGTGTTTTGTTTTATTTTATAAAAGATTTTTATTTAAAAATTAGTCTATTCTATTGTTTTATTAACTTATTCTAAAATTTTTTTATAACTTGACACATCACTCAATTAGCACTCGTCCCCACATATAGGTGTCGCTAGTGTAGTAAGTGTAATAGGACTAAGCTTTAGAAATTACAGTGATTTGAGTGATACCTTTGCAAGTGTTAACTCTGGGTTAAACATTTTTAAAGTATTTCGAAAAGGATCGAAGGAATAGAAGAAATAAATAATTAGCAGACGACTCTTATTGTATCATAAAGATGTGAAGATGTCAAGTCTTAAAAAATAACGGTGAAATATCTTTACTTCCTCAAATAGGCTATTGATTTTGTGCACAAAGACGGCTAAAAGAAACTACATGGTTATTGGACCATCAAATAGGAAAAAACCGCAGAGTGCTACTATTCATATATCGAGTATATATACACTAGGGTGCATTTGGGTGAACTCTAGGCACTTTTGGTACATGTATACGTAGTATAATTTAGTGTTCTTAATGTTGTGACAGTGTTCTGAATGTTGTGACAGTTGTCAGTATTCAAATAATTGTTTTGTTATTCTAATGTCATGATTTATGCGGATAAAATTGTAGTAAAGTAGTAAAATACCTTTTTGCAAAATTAGGCTTAGATTTGTATAAAACTTTACATAAGAATGACTGTCACAACATTAAGAATACTGTCAGAATATTAGGAATGCTAAATTATAATGGAGTATCATATTAAGAACACTGCCACAACATTAAGAACGCTAAATTATAATGGAGTATCATGTTTTCAGAGTGCCATTGATTATATTATTCAAAAATAATATATACGAGGTGTTTACGCTTATTTACTTTTAGGTCCAGACTTGGTATTTGCTCTTGAGGAGTTGAAAAATGATATGTCTAATACACTTCTATGGACCATTATTGAAAAAAATTCTCATTATTGGAACATATGCGTCTGAATTTGCTATTGCTTCCACGCTGAATCAACTTAGAAGACTCGTTTCTTTTTTCTCACGTACTCTCACAGATTCTGAACGAAAAGATTCTGCAATTGAAAAAGAAGCATATGATTGCGTTGAAGTAGTAGTGCTCTCTTTTCAGAAGTCATGATTTACCACTTGCTACCAAAATCTCTCTCATTAGATGCTATGTATTTTCTACCTTATTATACGGAGTAGAGACCTGGACACTTTCCGAAGCTTTCTTAAGAAAACTCGAGGCATTAGAGATGTGGTGTTACAGACGTATCTTAAGAATTTCGTGGGTGGATCGTTTGAACATCATCAAAGAGCGCAAACTAGAATATCTTGGCCATGTTATGAGGAATGAACAGAGATACGGCTTGTTGCAACTCATTCTTCAGGGCAAGGTATTTGGAAAGAGAGGACCAGGGAGAAGAAGAATATCTTGCCTTCAAAACCTGAAAAAGTGGTTTAATACATCGACAACCGGACTATTCAGAATAGCAGCAAGCAAAGTTAGGATAGCCATGTTGATCGCCAACATCCGGAACGGATAGGCACCGTAAGAAGAAGAAGTAGTAAACCGATGGAGACATTATCTGATAGAAAGGCAATTCAAACTAATCGCTGATCAAAAATCAGTTTCATTTATGTTTATTACAAATCCAACAAGTAAAATAAAAAATTATGTGTTGGAGATCGGAGCTTTCTTTGTTTTAAATGTGATAATATTTATCGTCCAGGAAAGGCTAATGATGCAACTGATGTACTATCAAGAATATCTTCTTAAAGTTCCATCTTCTATCGGAGGTTGGATATCATAACGGCTATGGTCATTTTGTTGG